GTTGGGTATAGAGTCAGAAGTCATGGGTCAGGATGTGGTTGGAGGCCAGAGTGATGGCAGGGGTCATCAGACTGGAGCAAAAGGCATATATAAATAGGATCTTGGGGTAATGGGTCATGGACTCGAGTGTTAGAGGTCACTGTAGAATTGAGGACATGGGATCCAGATGTTGCACAAGCTGGCCATAATCTGAGGGTGGAAACTGGGATTCGATCAGGGATCACTGGTCTAGGATTAGAAGCCCTAGAGGTTAGGGGTCATGAGGTCCCGGCTCAAATAAACAGGGATCATAAGTCCCTTTGGAGTTGGCACCAATGGTTTATCACTGAGTTTAGAAGTTTAAGAGAAGACAAGGAGTGTGGGGTCTGGAGACAGAGAGGGAAAGGAGGTCAAGTTGGGATCTAAGTATAATAAGATTGAAGGTCAAAGGTCACAGCATCTGGAATTTAAGGAGAAAAGTGGGTCTGGATTCATTGCTTCTGAGGTTGGAGGGACAAAGGGTGTCTTGAGTTATGGCACTCAGAGTCATAGGTTAAAGGTCGGGGGACTGGGTCAATGAACTGGGGCAAGGGTCACTATGAAATGAAGTAATAAATCTGAAATTTAAACGTTTGCAGATTGTAGTGGGGGGTCATAGGAAAAGGGCAGGGTATAGACTTCTATTTGGCTTCCTTGAGTAGAGGGAGGTGGCCCCCAAGTGGGGAGCTTTGGGAAACCCTGTGGCTTCTATCTTCCACCCACAGACCCATTCCCGGACCTGCTGCAATGCCTCAACGTCTCCATCGTTTCCAGTGCCACCTGCCGGGCTGTGTTCCCCGGCAGAATCACGGACAACATGGTGTGTGCCAGGGGCATGGAAGGGGCGGATGCCTGCCAGGTGCGTGAATGCCGGCAACACATGGTCACCCAGGGTAGGAAGTTAGGGACAGAGCAGGGAGGATGGGGGAGAGAGAGAGGTCAGAAGGAAGGGGAGGCGCAGGACAAGGCAGGGAGAGCCAGGTGATGGAGGACAGAGAGAAGGAGGGGTGGGTGGAGAGAACAGAGGGAGGGAGGGAGGGAACAGAGAAGGAAAGATGGGAGGGGCACAGGAGAGGGAGAGGAAGAGAAGATGGGGGAGGGCAAAGAGGTGGCGGGGATTTGGAACTGAGGTGTGTAACCGCTTGTCTCTCCCCATACCATCCTCCAACTGATGCTGGCTCAGGCAAGAGCGAGAGAATCTAGGATGGAGGCAGGAGAGGAGGCTGGTGGCCTCTCCTGTCCTCGAATTCGGCTACCTTGCTCCCTCGGCTCCTCCAGGTTGGAGGCCGCCCCACCCTCCTTGCTAAGGCTCCAGCCTTTGTGCCTGAGAGAACCTTTATAGATCCTGCCTTCCTTTGCTGGGACTGGTCACTGATGGGGTGCTCTTTCCCTCATTGGTCAGTGCCCCAGCCAGTCGTCCTCTATAGAATTCTTATAGGTCCCCACCTCCTTTGCTGGGATTGGTCATTGAAGATACTCTCTTCACTCATTGGTCAGAGCTCCAGCCATTGTCCTTGAGAAGCCCCCTCCCCCACCTTTTATGGAATCCTGCCTTCCCTGGATTGGCGCCCTAGGAACAGCATGTTCTTCCCTGTTGATCAGTCACTGCTGGGGAGGGAGCGTGGGGAACGTGGCAGTGCTCTTCTCTGATCACCAGACTTGGATCCTGTCTTCAGGGCCTGGGAATGGGTTTGGGGGTCGGGGCAAGGACAATGGGAACAGGATTTCTCCCTTATTCATTCGGTGCTGCTTCTCCTTCTGTATTCCAGGGCGACTCTGGGGGGCCCCTGGTGTGCGGAGGAGTCCTTCAGGGTCTGGTGTCCTGGGGGACCGTGGAGCCTTGCGGGCAGGAAGGCATCCCAGGGGTCTACACCAATATTTGCAAATATGTGGACTGGATCCGGATGGTCATGAGGAACAACTAACCTGCTCCCTCCACCTCCACCCCTCAGCCTGGGGGCCACACTGACTGACCCTCGGAGCACCAACCGTCCTCCGTCGTCCGTTATCAGCCCTGGCTCCAACTCCCCTTGGGCTGGGGATCTTCTTCCGAGTACTCCAACTCCAGCCAGCCCTTCTAAGTCCCAGGTTTGGAGGAGGAAGGAATGTGTGACTTCCTGGAATAAATATAACGAGCTCTGTCTGTCTATTTGATATCCCCGTGCTGGTTGACACAGGAGGGAGGCTCATCAGTCCCCCTACCCACAGATGTAGGAATAGAGACCACAGAGGGCAAGAGTTTTCCCTTAGGGGTCACTCAGGAACGGAGGAGAAAAGGTTACTTATAACAATAAAAATAAGGGCCTTTTTTTTTTCTCTCTCTCTCTCTATCCAGCACTTTAGGAACAGTGCCCATGAAGGACCTGAGGAGGGGGGAATTATTGGCCCCAAAATACCAAATGAAAATTGCAAAATCAAAACTCACGACCATTTAATTAAATGTCTATAAAATGTAACATTCTTCCACCTAGCCAATTCCAACTTGGCTTTGCTGGAGCTGTTGAGCACACATTATATTTAATGTGGGATGTGGGTTCGTTTTAATATGTCTGTGATGATGGAAGGCGGGGTGTAGCCTTGGAAAGCAAGAGGACCCAGCCTAGGTCTTAAAATAATCCTGCCCACTCCTTGGGTTCTGTCTTCACCCCCATCCAGGAGGTGCAAAGGGAGCTTCTCCCCAGGGAATGGAAGGGGAATTTGGGGTGGGAGAGTGAGGGGTGATGGTGACAGCATGGGAATACTTGCTGGATGCCTTCAGTGCTCAGCTCTCCTGGAGTCTTCATCCCAACCACCCCAAGGCAGGGCTGTCCCCCCATGTCGCAGATGAAGAAACTGAGCCTCACCAGGGTGGAGTTCCTTGGCTCACGTCACTGTGGTAGGAAGAGGCAGAGCCGGGGTTTGAGGTCAGGACTGGCTGCCTTAGGAACCCATACCCAGTCGTCTTGCCCCACTTCTGGTTAGGGGAGAGAGGAGGGCAAGACAGAGAGCAGGAGATCTCACTGATAACAAGCAGGCCCTGAAATAGAGGGATCGGCAGACAGCAAATTGAGGTGGCTCAGATTTGGAAGTCATTGGACCTAAGTCTCACAGCGAGTAAGTGCCACAGCTGGATTTGGGGGGGTCCAGGGTTCCCGGAGGCAGGAGGGGGGAGCGGAGGGAAGGGAAGGGGGCAGAAGCGAAGCCCCAGAGGAGCGCTAGGGTTTGGGGCCTTGCAGAGGGCTGACTCCCTTTCCTGGGCCTTGATTCCCACAGGCCCCAACCTGCCTCCCCCACCCTCCTGTCCTTCTCCTTCAGCTGGCAGCAGCCCCACCTCTGTGAGGCCCCAGTTTCCCCCCCTTCCTTGGAATGGAGAAGGAAGGGCCCAGAGGAAGCCGGGGGCCCACCTGGGCTTGGGCTGTGGGGAGGGAGGAGCAGGGACAGAGGAGAGACACAGCCTGGGAGAATGAGGTGGAGGGAGAGAGAGAGAGAGAGGAGGTGGAGGGAGGCAGAGACCGAGAGACATAAAGAAAGATAAAGAATTAAAGGAGTCCTGCAGAGAGAGACTGTCAGAGACAGACAAAAAGACAGAAAGGCACAGGCAGAGAGGCAAAGAGAAATATGGCCACGGAGTTACAGAAAGGAAGCAACCAGCAGAGATGAAGAGAGACAGACCAGGAAGGATGTGGGGTGGGGGCGGTGGGGGGGGAGGCGAGAAACAGAGAAGAGGGGCTTGGAGAGGTGACAGAGGCAGGCCGGTCGGCACACACCCTCCACCCCCAGGGCAGTAAGGCAGGGCTGGGAGGCCCAGTCATCAGGGCCACCCCGCACCTGCCTTTCACCTGATGCACTGACCCAATCTGCCTCCGACCCAAACTGCCGCGGCTGCCTCCGCCACCAACCCGGCACCCAGAGCCCCAGTCCCAGAGCCCCAGTCCCAGAGCCCGTGAGTCGGGGAGGGCAGGGAAGACCCTCTTGCAGTTTCTTGTGCTCCTGGAGCCCGTCAGGCCTCCTCTGCCTCCACACCCTTTCTCCCTCTGCTCTGTCCTTCTCGGCCTGGGCGGGTGCTCTCTGCCTTTCCGTCTCTCCAACTGGCTGCCTTGCCCCCGACTTCAGTGACCCCTGATCCCCGCTTTGATAGCTGAATCCAGCCTCCACCCCACCCCCTGCAGGCCAGGGCAGCTGAGGGCACTGGCCCTTCCCCTGACCGGCCCCGCCCAGTTCCATCTGTCTGTCCTTCCAAGGGGCAGGAATTCAGAAGGACAGGGCCCGAACACCGTCCCAGGCTGAGCCCCCTACCGCACGCTGGACAACCCTCAAAGGGCCCATATCACCCTGGGGTGGAGGCGGCATGGGGCTGGTGGGGCCTGGCCAGGTCTCAGGAGGGCAAGAAGGAAAACATTCTCCCAGATGCATCTCACAGGTACTATGGCTGACTTAAAACAGTGCCAGCCAATCCCTTGCCCCAGCCAAAGCCCCTCGCAGCATCTGCCACATCCTCCTTGGCTCTGGCTATGAGAAGCTTTTAGCTGAGATCAGGCCCCTCCAAGGCCACCTTGATACCAAAGACTTGTTTTAAAGGTTTGGAGGCTGGGATGCTGTGAGAACTTGGGTATTCCTCCAACCCTGTTGTTTCTCCCTGGAGGCAGCCAGAGCAGGCCGGGGAGGGAGGAGAGGGCATGAACCAGGCCCTCTGTAGTCTCCCCATAAAGTGATTGGGCCCCTTGTCCCTTCTTGTTCCCAGAAGAACCTGGGCCTGCCCTTCCCCTCTCCAGGCCAGGATGATTCTTCGATTAATCATGCTTGCTCTGCTGACAGGTACAGTGGGGGATGGGGGAGGGCAGGGGCCTCCCTCTCCAATCTCTAGGCTCCCTCAACCCTCTATGTCTGGATATTGACTGAGCCAATGCTGAAAATATAGAATAACCCGTAAGGCATCTAAATGGACACAGGAGCCCTAATAAGGTCCCGATGCCCCTTGCTGCATAATCCCTTTAGAGGCTAGAATGGGGAGAGGTCAAGGAGGGTCCAGCGGAGGGGCCGGGGCAGCTGCAGTGGGGTGGAAGACACTGACCAAGCAGTACGGAAGGATTTCAATCATTTAATACCTGGCTGGCCTGTCCGGACAGTGCCCCCCAGCCTGACCCCAGCCTGGGACCCAGAGCACCCACCCCTTGTCTGCTCCCCCCACCCCCACTTCTGGGAGTCGTCTCACGCCTGAGCCCCGTCTTCTGCTCTCACTCCCCTCCAGGGCATGTAGGGGGAGAGACCAGGATCATCAAGGGGTATGAGTGCTCTCCTCATTCCCAGCCCTGGCAGGTGGCTCTGTTCCGGAAGACACGGCTGCTCTGTGGGGCAACGCTCATCGCTCCCAAATGGCTCCTGACAGCGGCACATTGCCGCCAGCCGTGGGTGCGGGGGCGGGGCGGGCCGGCAGGGGGCTGAGATGGGGAGACGGATGGGGGGGGGATGGGGAGCACAGGATGGGGTCCAAGATGGGCGCGGGGGTGGGCAGTGTGGGTGATGGACACCGAGACGGGACGGAAAGACGGAAGCCACTGGACCTGGGATGGTGCTGGAATGGGGATGTGGCTGGGGAGGAGGCTTCGGTGGGAAGTGGGGATGAGGCCGGAAGGGGGGCTGTGTTCCTTTGCTCTCCCGGTGCTCTCATCCCTCCCCCTTCCCCCATGTCTCTCCCCACCTCCCCTCTCCTGTCTCTCCCCGACCTTCCATCTCTGACCGCCAACTCCCCCACCTCAGCCAGTACGTGGTTCATCTGGGGGAACACAACCTCCGGCAGCGGGATGGCTGTGAGCAGACCCGAACGGCCACTGAGTCCTTCCCCCACCCAGACTTCAACAACAGCCACCCCAACAAAGACCACCGCAATGACATCATGCTGGTGAAGATGACAACAGCAGCCTTCATCACCAGGGCCGTGCGACCGCTCACCCTGTCATCTAGCTGTGTCACTCCTGGCACCCACTGCCTCATTTCCGGCTGGGGCACCACGTCCAGCTCCCAGTGTAGGGGCTCCAGAGGGGGACGTGGAGGGGGGCGGGTGGCCCCGGTTGTGGAAGGACGGAGGGAACCAGAGGAACCTTCCGAGGGGAGAGTCCCAGAGCACGAGAGTACGAGAGGGGGATCCCTGGGGGTGTCAGTGGTGGGATAAGTCAAAAAGAAGAGGGGAAACGTAAGAGCTGGGGGTGTGCGTGGGGACAAAAGTCTGGACCCTGGGCTCAGAGAGATAGATGTGCAGTGCCAGATCCACGACCTGCTCGTTGTAGGACCTCAGGCACGTGGCCTCCCCTCTCTGAACCCTGGTTTTCTTCTCTATGAAATGAGGATAGTCACACCCACCTACTAGGGCTGGATTAGAGATAGTGTATATAGAATGGCTGGCATAATACATCTACTCGGTACCATTACCGGAGCTATTGCTATGAGCACAGAGATGAGTTGGCTGCAAGCAAGAAGGACAGGGACTGGCTGTGGTGTGGGTTCAAAGGAGGCACTGGGCGGGGAAGGGGACCGGGGGCTCTCGTTTCCCACACCCCTCACGCCGTTTCCACAGTGCGCCTGCCCTATACCTTGCGATGCGCCAACATCACCATCATTAAGCACGAGGAGTGTGAGGAGGCCTATCCCGGCAACATCACGGACACCATGGTGTGTGCCAGTGTTCGGGAAGAGGGCAAGGATTCCTGCCAGGTCAGGGGGCAGGGCCTGGGTCTCCAGCCACCCATCCCATTCCCACCTCCTGGGATGAGATCCACAATCTCATTCCCAACCCCGACCCCGTCTCCCCTTGCCACCCCAACTCCATGTCCACCCCTAGCTCCCATTCCAAACCTCCAAGGGTTTGGGGCTCCATCCCCATTCCCACCCCTATTCCCAGCCCCAACCATCCCCCAATCAACTCTAACCCCATCTTGATTGCCACCCATAGCTCCAACCTCATCCCCAATCGTCCCGACAGCCCCATCCTCGATCTCCACCCCACTCCTAACACCATCGCTACAACATCCCAACACCACCTCCTCCCTAACACAGCGCCCAACCCTGCCCCTCTCCCATGGCCACTCCTCCTTTCTGACCGGTTGTCTCTCTCTCCATACCCAGGGTGACTCTGGGGGCCCTCTGGTCTGTGATGGATCTCTTCAAGGCATTATCTCCTGGGGCCAGGATCCATGTGCTGCCACCAGAAAGCCTGGTGTCTATACAAAGGTCTGCAAATATGTAGACTGGGTCCAGAAGACTATGGAGAATAACTAGCCAGGACCAGCCCAACACCCCTGATTTCTATTTGCCGATGTTGCTCTTGTTCATTCTGTTAATAGTCAAGCCAGAGCAAGGACGCCTTTATGTATTTTCTTTTCATGCCTCCTGGACTATGAGAGATGCTATAGCTTAATAATCAACTTGGGGTTTGGAATCAGTGAGGCCTGGGTTCAAATCTTGCCTTGTACTAATTTGTGATTCTGGGACAGATAATAGTTGTTTGGTTCAGTGTTGTATCCCCAAGCCCCAAAGACACTTTCTGGCACTCACCAAGGTTTCAATAAATACTTACTGAACAATGAATCTTTGGAGTGCTTACTATATGCCAGACCCTGATCCAAGGGCTTTTAAATATATCAACTAACTTAATCTTCACAAAGATTAAGTGTCATTATTATGCCCATTTTGCAGATGAGGAAACTGGGTACAGAGAAACAAGTCACTTGCTCATAGTCACACAGCCAGTAAGGAGAAGAGCAAGGAATCTAAAGCAAGGTCTTTTCTTTTCATTCCTTTTTCTTTCTTTCTTTCTTCTTTCTTTCTTTTCTTTCTTTCTTTCTCTTTCTTTCTTTCTTTCTCCTTTCTTTCTTCTTTCTTTCTTTCTCCTTTCTTTCTTCTTTCTTTCTCCTTTCTTTCTTTCTTTCTTTTCTTTCTTTCTTTCTTTCTTTCTTTCTTTCTTTCTTTCTTTCTTTCTTTCTTTCTTTCTTTCTTTCTTTCTTTCTTTCTTTCTTTCTTTCTTTCTTTCTTTCTTTCTTTCTTTCTTTCTCTTTTTAAAGCAAGGTGATTTCTTAACTACCAGGCGAAACTGCCTTGATTGAGGCTCAGTTTTCTTATCTGTAAAATCGTGCACTTGTAAGAATGATAGCCCAGTAGGTACGTCAGCCTGCACATAATTAAGACCTGAGAGAAGGAGCTATCACTGTTTTTCTTTCCAACCTCCAGGCGAGGTATTTCCTCCAGACTAGTGCGGTCAGCACGATAGCCACTAACCACGTGGGGCCTTTTAAGTTAAAATGACCTCACATACCACATACTCTAGCCACATGTAGCTGCTGTATTGAATAGCATATATAGGGCATTTCCACTGTTGTAGAGAGTTCAGCTGGATAGGGCAGAGCCAACCTCTGCAGTTAACTCAATTCCCACTGGAAAGGATGCCCCACAACTAGTCCAGAACTCAGGATCTTTTTTGACATTCTGCTCGCCTTTCAGGGGAGGTTGTTGGCATGTGGAGTAAGAGCCCAGAGCTGAAACTGGAGCCTCCTGGTTGTTAGGTGGACTTACTGTGTGACCTTCTGTGAGTCACTGCCTTCTCTGAGCCTCGATTCCTCACCTGAAAGGAGGGGATTAGTCCAGGTCATACTGACGCTCCTCTGTGGCCTTGGCCTCCTGTGATTCATGGGCCCGTGTGTCATCTGAAGGCAAACTGATGGTAGGGAGGATGTGATGTGACCACACTTGGGTGTGATGCGGAGCCGCCCCCAGCAGGAGGAAGAGGGGCGCTAGTCACTGGGATACACAGTGAGCCCACTGCTCAAGCTGTGGGAGTGGGCTCAGCACAGAGCTTCGCGCTGGCTCTGGGGCTCTGCCTCGTTCCCTCTCTGCCCCCTTTCTGTCTCTGTGATTTCTTCTTTTCCTTGTCTCTGTGTCTTCTACCCTTTCCTTCCATCTGTCTTATCTCTCTGCCTCCCTCTCTCCTGGCCAGCAGTTCTGGTTTTTCTCAGTCACTGGGTATGCATTTCCCTGTTTGGTTTTCCTCTCTCTTGGTTGTAATCACCTCTTTCCAACATTATCTCTGAGACCCGGAGGCTACCTGGGAACATGGCATCCTCTCCCCGCTGAGAAGACTTTTTGGAATAGGACACCTGGGGAATCCCCATGGAGTCCAACTCCAAAAAGGGTGTTTGGGGCTCTAGAAGAAGCCTGTATTCCCTGGGCCCCTCCCAGAGCAGGAATCTGGGGCCCAGGCTGGGTGCCAGTCCCACCCAAGGTATAATTAGGGAGAGGGAAAGGGAGGGAGTGAATCTCTGGGGCGAGGGTGGGGAAATTTCCGGGCTCTTCGAGGTTAAAAAGGAAGGCCAGGCCAAGGGTCCCAGGGCAGAGGATTCCGGCGGCCCACTTGGCAGGGCAGAGGCACTCCTGGGTCTCCTCCCTCCTTTCCAGCAGCGACTCCTAGGTGAGATGGGATGCACCTCACCCTAGGAGGGGCGGGTCCGAGAGCATGGGTGGGGACCTTTGGGTCGCGGACAGCCCTGTTTGAGCCTCGGTTTCCCTATCTATGGCACACGCCTCTGAGCCTCGGACCGCGGCCCCACCTGTGAAGGAGGGCGAACCCCAAACGCTGCTTGGCGGGCAGTCCGGGGAAGCTCGGGCTGGGACCTCACTCCCCCTTCTGGCGTAGGGAGGTCAGGAGGACGCCAGGAGGGGCGTCATTAGGCTAATTGTGCTCATGTCAGGTATTCCGGCCCGAATCGCCCGTCTGTCCGTCCGCCCCTGAGATCTGTGCCGAAGGTTAAGCGGGTCCCCGCGGGTTGGGTGGGCCCAGGCCGGGCGGCCGGGCGCGGTGGGCTGGGTGTGCGGGTGTCTCTGACGGAGTATCAGTTTTAATTCGCTCTCCCCCTGCCCCCCCCAGCCTCGGTCCTGGCCATGGGACCCCCACACCTCCACCTGTGCCCCGCCTCCCGCACCCGGGCCCTGGCGAGGCTGCTTCTGCCGCTGTTGGTGACGGAACTGTGGGGTGAGGCGGGGGACAGGGCTTGGCGGGAGGCCCCAGGGAGAGTGCGCTCCTCACCAGCCCCCGCGCACCACTCCTCGTCTGGGGACCCCAGCACCCACCCGCCGATCCGGGGGAGGCCCGCCCCTAAGTCAGCCCCGCCCCTCGCCGGGCTCCGCTCCCGGGGGCCCCCCTCCCCGCCCCCCAGTTTGGATCCCTACTCCTTTCCCCTCCTGGCTTCCTTTCCCGGCCCCTTACGACCGCGGCCCCTCTCTCAGTCGCATTCTGTCCCCGCCCCTTCTTAGTGCGCCCGTTTCTCCCCGGGCTGGCCTTCCCGCTTCGGCCTCGCCCTTCCCTCCGCCCGCTGCGCTATTCCCGCCCCTGCTCCCCAAGCTCCGCGGCCATCTGTCCTCGCCCCCTGCTGGCCCTGCTCCGAGCGCCGCGCTCTGTCCCCGTCCCTCCAGACCCGCCCAGTTCGCTCTCCTCACTCCAGTCCGCTCTATTCCTGCCTCCTTCCCCCTTCCCGCCGTTCTTCTCCTCCCACTTCCAGTCGGTTCCTGCAGGACCCCCAATTTCCAACTCCCCAGCTTCCCTGGGTCTGGCTGCGCCCCCCCCCCCCCCGCCCGCTCCGGCCCTAAACCCAGCCCTAGTCCCGCCTGCTCTGATCTCCACTCCTTTTCTTTCTCCAGCCGCGGAGGCGGCGCTGCTCTCCAGAAACGACACTGGCTTGGACCCTGTGGCCTCGGGCGCTCCATGCGCACGCGGTTCGCAGCCCTGGCAGGTCTCCCTCTTCAATGGCCTCTCGTTCCACTGCGCGGGCGTCCTGGTGGACAAGAGTTGGGTGCTCACAGCCGCGCACTGCGGGAACAGCAAGTAGGGGGAGCCTCTCGGGGCATCCAGGGAGGGGCTGTGGAGGCAGGCCCGGGGGAGGGGGCGGGAAGGGCCGGGGCACTTGAATCCATGTGGGAGTCAGTTCTGGAGGGCTTCCTGTGGGGGGCGCGGGCGGGGGGTGCTGTGGCCGCCAGGGGGCGGTGTGGTCCTTTTAAGCGTTTCTGGGCCCGTCCACGAGCCCCGTCTTGCTGATACTCCTTGGGTTCCACTGAAGTGTAGAGCTAGTTTGGAGGTTCCAGCAGGGGAGCGCAGCTACTCGTATACCCTTGACCGAAGAACGGTCCTCCTCTATCGGGGAAGGTCGTCCTCTTCGACGGAGCGCGCAGCTTCGGGAGGGACGCACATGGAGCGGTGAGGGAGGAAGGGGACACCCGCCTAGCCAGCCAGATCAGCCGAATCAACCCTGGCGATCAATGGGGTGGTGTAGATAGTTGTATGCAACAGAAGTCAGGGTCTGGTGTGGTTAGGAATTTAGAACTAAGGAAATTGTTCACCTCCTGAGTCCCCACTGAGGGAGGAAGGAAGAGGTGGGCTTACCCAGGTGGACCCCTGCCCTCAACTCTTGCAGAACTCAGAGATTCAAACACCTAATCATTCTTCCCCGTGTCCCAAGAACTCAGATCCCCAGCTCCCTTCTCCCCCACCACCTCCTCCCTCAGACCCAGGAGTCCTCACCCTCAAACCCCTCCTCCCTCAGACCCAGGAGTCCAGGCTCCTACCCTGCTACCAGTACCCTCCTTCCCAGGGACTCAGAGTCTGGTCTCAGTCCCTAAGGAGGCTTTGCCCCCATATATCTCTTCCCTTCCTAGTCCTCTGTGGGCTCGCATTGGGGACGACCACCTGCTCCTCCTCCAGGGTGAGCAGCTCCGCCGGACCACTCGCCACATTATCCACCCCAAGTACCGCCAGGGCTCAGGCCCCATCCTGCCGAGGCGGACAGACGAGCATGACCTCATGCTGCTGAAGCTGGCCAGGCCCGCTGTGCTGGGGCCTCGCATCCAGACCCTGCGCCTGCCCTACCACTGTGCTCAGCCCGGAGATCAGTGCCAGGTTGCTGGCTGGGGCACCACAGCTACCCGAAGAGGCAAGAGCTGGGACCCCTGAGGCCTGTACCCTGGGGAATACCTTGAGGGCCAGGACTTTGGGTCTGAGGGAGGAGGGAGCTGGGGGTGTGGACTCCTGGGTCCTGGAGGATTAGGGGCTGGCCATGGGTTTACCTACTGTTTTCTCCCATCAGTGAAGTACAACAGGGGCCTGAGTTGCTCCAGGGTCACTGTCCTGAGCCCTAAAGACTGCGAGGTCTTCTACCCTGGTGTCGTCACCAGCAACATGATGTGTGCGGGACTGGAGCAGGGTCAGGACCCCTGCCAGGTAGGGACTGGTCAGGGTGGGTCTCTGACTCATGGGGAGCTAGGATAGGGAAGTTATGAGAAATCAGAAGGCCCTGTCCCTGTCCCCAACCCCAGCCCAGTGTCATCCCTGTGTCCCACACTATCCCGTCCCTACCCCATCTTCATCCCCGTGTGTGACTCTCCACCTGTTCGTGCCTGGCCTGCCCACTTCCCACCCCATCCTCAACTGCATTCCCATCTTCAGGCCAGTCCTAAACCCCGAGCCCATCCCTACTCTCCATCCGTCTTCATCCCCTCACCTTCCACAAGCTCCAATGCCAAGGCCATCACGTTTCCCTTCTCATCCCCCCGTCCAGTGTCCACAACCCCCAGGCCAGTCCCACCCCAACCCAAGCTCATACTTAATTCCAACCCCACCCCAAGCTCATCTTTACCCAAACGTAACTCCAGCCCTGCCCAAACCTCTTCGCCATCACTATCCCAGACACCCAAGTGGGTCCGTGTATTTATTTGATCTCTCCTCCTCCCACCCCCAGAGTGACTCTGGTGGCCCTCTGGTCTGTGATGAGACCCTGCAGGGCATCCTTTCATGGGGCGTTTACCCCTGCGGCTCTGCTCAGCATCCAGCTGTCTACACCCAGATCTGCAAATACAGCTCCTGGATAGAGAAAACCCTACGCTCCAACTGATCCAGAGGTCCTGCCACTCCACCAGCTGCCCTCTTGCTCCTTCCTCCGCAGTTGCAGGGGCTGAACCCTCCCCCTGCCCCTTTCGAACCTCCGCCACCCATCTACACCTCCTAACGTCTCTCCTCTTCCCTTACCTCCCCCTGCCTTCCACTGCTCGGGTGGAAGCACGTTGAAGCTGAAGTGCTAAAAGTGGTGACAAAGTTTAATTCAAGAGAAGCAAGGAAGCTGGTGGTCACCCAGTGTCCAAGAGAGGCTGTCATTCACTCAACCTGCCTCCCTCTGCTACTCCCCACTGTGTGACCTAGGGCAAGCTAAGTACCCTCTCTGGGCCTCTATTTCCTCATCTGGAAAGTGGGGACAATGAAGTGTCTACCTCATAGATGCATTGTGAAGAGATGATCATATAACATGAGTGCATAGGTTGCTATGGTAATTATCAGTAAAGCATTAATGCAGGGGGTGGTGAGCCCTGACTAAATGTTACCTGTTGTCATGATCTGTGAACAGGTCCTGGTTAGAATGAACGTATGTGACTCCACGTGCTGGGGAGAAAAGCACAGGGGTAGCCCCCGGTCCCAAGCCCCCTCACCCCATCCTCTGCATCGCCATCCCTCAGGGCTGATGGGGAGAATCACATTCCCCATCCTCCTCTCAAGTTCCATGAAGCACCCCTTAACCACTTCCTTCCTCCATCCCACTGTTCCTCACGTCTCAGTCCACCCAACACCAGTTCCTCCTGTCCCAGCAGGAGCTGAGCCACCTCTGAGTCATCTGGTCCCTTCTCTGCCCTCCTGGGGCCACTGGAACCCAAGGGACCTCACCCCAGATCCACCTCAGCCTCTAAGACCAGAGGAGCCCACCCCACCTTAGTTGCTAAGTTCATGTAAAGAAGTCCTCTGAGATTTAGGGGAAATTTTCTGTTTAGATCCCTCTCCATCCCCTCACCAACCACAAGCTCCAGTCCCAGCTCCACCGTATCTCCATTCTCCTCTGATCCAATGCCCATAAGCCCCAGTCCACCACCATCCCCACCTTATCCAAAATTGGCTTGGAAATTTCGCCCTGAAAATTTGGAAGGAGAAGGGTTCTTTTCCTCTCCCTGAAAGTGTCTCCATGTAAATATTCCTACACTGGGGGGTCTACTACACAGAATCCAGGCAGAGCTGACAGATGTTTGGGTGCGTCCATTTAGCCTAAACTCTGGAGACGTAACATCAGCTGAACATGTGCACAACAGAAATGTTCCATTTTTGGTTGCTCTTGTTTCCCCTTTCAAACGCCAATTTACTGAGCACCTATTATATGGCAGGCCTGATGTTGGGCACACAACCACAAGGTCCTTGCCCTCATAGAGCCCACAGAAGACTGGCACACAGTCTCCAGCTCCCTTCCTCTGCCCCCATTAGCACACCCAGGAAACGCCAATCAGACGTATCAGCTGAATTTGTCATGCAAGACTCAGAAGCGAAGGAGGTGGGAACTCGATTCATTTTTAAAGGCACATCGCCTGTTCCTTTAGTCATCATGCTACACGTGTTTACTGAGCTGTGTCCTACTCTAGGTCCTGGAGATGAATCAGCCCAAGCTCTACCCTCAAGGAGCTGCTAGTCAGGTCAGGGAGACAGGCAAGACTTCCATTCTTGTCATTCAGGTTTCTACTCAAAAGTCACCTCCTCAGAGAGGCCTTCCAGGATTGCCCTGGCTAAAGGGGTCCCCTGCCCTCACCAGGACAACAATCCATTGCTCGGTTTATTTCTTTCGCAGCACTTGTTAGAGATGAAATGACCTCATTTATCTGTTTACTGCATAATGGTCTGTCCCCTCTCTCTCCTGACTCAGTCCATGAAAGCAGGGACTCTGATTTATACACTGTGATTTTCTTAAGCACCTGGTACGGTGCCTGCACACAGAAGCTACTCAATACATCATTGGATTAACAACACAAATTGATCAGTGCTGCATCGGAAGGAGGCACGGGGTGCCCTAAGGAGAGGCCATGGGCTCTTTCTGAAGGAGTCAGGGAAGTCATCGCAGATCAGGGGACATCTGCATGGGGTTTAAAAGGATAAGTAGGAGTGTACTGGGTAGAGAAAGAAATGTATTTCTGTCACTTACTTTGTGACCTTGAGGAAATTACTGGAATGCTCTCTCGACCTCAGTTTTCCCCTCTGTGGAATAGAGATTGAATAGACTCTTGTGAGAATTAAATGAAATGATATATATATGAAATGCTTACCTGCCAGGCACAGACTACGGTCAATAAAGGTAGCTATCAAGGGTCGCCTGGGTGGCTCAGTCGGTTGGGCGCCTGACTCTTGGTTTCAGCACCAAGATCTCAGAGTCCTGAATTTGAGCCCTGCACTGGGCTCCATGCTGGATGTGGAGCCTACTTAAAAAAAAAAAAAAAAAAGTAAATATATATATATATTTTTTTAAAGGTAGCTATGGAGATGTTTCAGAAGCAGTTAGTATGGCATTTCGCACATAGTGTCTCTTCAGCCTCAGTCTTTGGTCTTCCATCCCTGTCTGGAGAGAGAGTAAGACACTCTACAACCATGAGTAATGTGTATTATAATGGGGGCAGTGCAGGGCTCTGTAGGAGATGGATAGACTTACTACATTGGTTGAATGCCTACCATGTGCCGAGCACGGTTGTAAGTGCTTCGTATGGGTTAATTGGCTCAATCAGCCCCCAACCTGGATTATTATTACTTCTTAATAGATGGGCCAACTGAGAGAGGTCCAGTGACTTGCCCAATAATTGCCAGCATTGAGATTTGGACCCAGGTGGTCCAGTTCCAGAGTCCATGCTCTAAACCATTACACCCAGTGACACATTCAAGGGGAGCCCAGACCCAGAGTGATAATCAGGCTTACAGCAACAGGAAGTGGAGGAGTCTGTGAGTGTCCAGGGGAGGAAAAGATGTATTCTTCCTTGAGAAATCAGAGAAGACTTCCTGGAGGAGGGGGCATTTAGTTTGAATCTTGAAGGATGAATAGGAGTTTACCAGGAAAAGAATATGGAGAAAGACATTCACTCATTTAATTAATATTTCCTGAGGCCTCCTGAGAGCTCAGCCCTGAATGGGTGATCCTGAGGACACAGAGATGAATCAGATGTGGGCTTGGCCCTGCAGGACCTGCCCACCTGATGAAGAGGAAGGATGGGGAGAGAGGCAGGTAGGATGGGCTGGTAGGAAGGACAATGGAAGGGAGGAGATGAAAAAACAGGGCAATGTTCTCAGGACTTGGCCCAGATCTGGTGATATTAAGAGAAAAGGAAAGTGCTTAGTTCCAGGCAGGTTGGGCATGTGGGTCTTGGGTGGTAGGGTTATGAAGAAGGGGGTAGGGTAGTTTATGAAAAGAGTGAGTTAATCCAGTTAGGCCCATATTTCCTCAACCTTCTAGGAGAGGCCTTTGTCCTTGCAGGATGGGGCCCAAATGCCCAGGGCAGGGAGGGCTCTTTAGGGGGTACACACATGTGTGGCTTCTTGTGGTCTCTGCCTTGCTCAGTCTGTCTCTCCCTTTCTCTCCTTCCCTCACCCTGGATCCTTCTGTATCCCTGTCCCTCTCGTTTTTAATTTTCTCTCTCTTTCCCTGCCTTGCCCCATCCAGCCTGCCTTCTTCCTACTGAGTCTCTGTTCTTTTTCCCAACCCTCACCTGCTTTCTGGGGTGGGGGTGGGGGTGGGGTGTGGTGGTCCTCCTGCCTATCCCTCCAGCCTGCCGGGGACACTGGCCCCAGCTCCCCACAGCTTCATTCAAGATAAACTCACTTCCACTTCAGGACCCAGCCTTAGGGATCATTTTTCTCTCCCTCTTCCTCCTCCAGACCACAGAATATCCTGTATCCAAGTCCTGCATCCTGAGATCATGGGAATGAGGGTTCCCCTCTCTGGAGATCCCAGGAGGACTCCATATCCCAGGGCTCCTCCCCCACTCAGCCCAGCCCTGGCTCAGCAGGCCACCAGCTCATCTGGCTCAGGAGGGGGGTCCCCCTGTATTGCCTCCATTTCCAAGGCCCCCAGTCAAGGCCTGAGGGCTTCCCCCTCCCCCCTGGGACATTTCCCAACCCAGATTAATCACAGGGGCGGCCCCAGAGAGGAGGAAGGAGATGGCATGGCTTACCTTCAAGAAGCACAGAAGCCTGAATGCATGCTCAAGACCCAGGCACCCCGAGGTCATGAGGCTGGGATTCGTCTGTGCTCTGCTTTCTCTCCTGGCAGGTGAGGCTCCAGCCGTCCATCCGCTGCCCCTCCACGGTCCCGGGAGCCCTGCCAGCCAGCTTGCCCTTGACCTCCCAGGCTTCTGCTCCTTCCTGCTAGGCATCTAGCATGTCTCCCCCAGCCCTCCCACGGTGCTTGTCATTGACCCCTCTGCCTCCATCCCACCCCAGGGCATGGCTGGGCAGACACCAGAGCCATCGGGGCCGAGGAATGCCGCCCCAACTCGCAGCCCTGGCAGGCTGGGCTCTTCTACTTCACCCACCTCTTCTGCGGGGCTTCCCTCATCAGTGACCGCTGGCTGCTCACAGCTGCCCACTGCCAGAAGCCGTGAGTGACCCGGGCACCACTGGGGTGGGGCGGGGAGCTGGAGGTAAGTGAGGGGGTCAAGGGGCCTTCAGTAGAGGAGGGAGGGAGCTGTGGTTGGAAGGATTTAGCCTTCATTTCTGTTCCCCAAAGCTCAACTCTTAGAATTAGAGTTGACCCTCCAAATTCTAGAGTCCCAAATAATCTAATTATTAGGGTCTAAAATTCAAAACTCTTAGAAACCTCGACTCTGACCCAGAAAAATCCAGAGTCATGGACTCCTAAAATCTCAGATCCATGAGATTCTACATTAGTTTCGGTGAATTCTAGAATTGAGACTCAGACTGGTAGAATCTTAGGAGCCTAGAGCAGCCCTGCCCTGTGGGTATATAACTCCAGCCACATAGTTAAGTTTAAATTTTCTTTTCAAGATTTTTATTTCTTTGGGAGAGAGAGAGTGTGTATGAGTGGGGGGAGGGGCAGAGGGAGAAGCAGACTCCCCCCTGAGCAAGCAGCCTGGTGTGGGACTCGATCCCAGGATTCTGGGATCATGACCTGAGCCGAAGGCAGACACTTGACCGAGTGAGCCACCCAGGCACCCCAAGTTTAAATTTTCTAGTAGACATATTACAGTAGTAAAAAAGAAAGGATGGTCATTAATTTTAATAATAGATTTAATTTGACACACTCAAACCATTATTTTATTTTATTTTTATTATTTTAAAAATTTAAATTCAATTAGCCAACATATAGTACATTAGGTTTTCTTTGGTGTAGTGTTCAATGATTCATTAGTTGCATATATCACCCAGTGCTTATGAGATCACGTGCCCTCCTTAATGCCCCCCACCCCCTCCTTTCCACAACCCTCAGTTTGTTTCCCCGGAGTCAAGAGTCTCTCATGGTCAAACCATTATTTTAATGTGCAATCCATTTTTAAATACTTATGAATGATATAGTTTAGTTTTTTAATACTACACTTTTGAAATCAGATGTGCATTTTACACATATGACATGTCTCAATTTGGACTAGTCACATTTCAAGTGCTCAATAGTTGTATGGGATAGCACAACCCTAGAATCTTAGGTTCAGTATTCTAGCTAGGTTCATTGAAAATAGAAGCTCATGGTCCTAGAATCTTTGATTCACAGTATTCTAGAATACTGTGACTTGCAGATTCTAGAATCTTGAATCAGTAGAATTCTAGATGTCTAGAATCTGGTGAATTAAACATCTTAGAATGCTATCATTCCAGATTCTTAAAATCCCCAAAGTTTTAATTGAGAGAATTCTAGAGTCTCAAACTATTTGAACCCTAGATTCTTAAATTTCTAAAATCATAGAATTACAGAATTCTAGGAATGTCTGGGTGGCTCAGTTGGTTGAGCGTCTGCCTTCGGCTCAGCTCATGATCCCGGGGTCCTGGGGTTGAGTCCTGTGTCAGTCTCCTTGCTCGGCAGGGAGCCTGCTTCTCCCTCTGCCTGCCGCTCCCCCACCTGCTTGTGCTCTCCCTCCCTCTCTCTCACTCTCTGACAAATAAATAAATGAATAAAACCTTTTAAAAATATATAAAAAAGAATTATAGAATTCTAGATTGATTAAATCCATTTTATAGTCCCAGAATACTAGAATTCTAGGCTCTTTAAAGCCTTGATTTCATCCAGATAATTTTAAAACCCCAGACTTTTGGCCTAGAGAAATCTAGAATGTTAGAATATTGGATTCATAAGATTCTAGAACATAGAATTCTAGAATCGTGGATTCCTAGGGTGTTAGAAGATTCTGGAATTCTAATGGAATCTTAGAATCTACCTGATGCAGAAATCCAGAATTTCTATATTACCTCTGGAAAGGGGTAGCCCATCTTGTTCCGATATTCTTCCCCCCAGGAATGAAGCACAGATGCTGAATGAAGTACAGAATGCTGTCTGGGAATTTCCCATCATGCATTGCTCCATGATAGGGCCTCTTTCAGCTCAGGTCTGTACTTAAAGCTAGGAGAAGAATGTTCCGATTTTAGCTCCAAAGACTAAGGAGAGAGGCAGAGATATGGAGGTAGAAAAGATTCAGGCTTGAGGACAAGTTGGGGGAGATTGGTTTCCCAGACACAGAGCCCAGGCAACAAGGTGACAGAGATAGAGATAATGTCTCATACTCATTAAATCCTGAATTCTCAGTCATAAGCCTGGTTCCTAAGGTCAGAGGTCAGAGGCCGAGGAATGGACATGTACATCCCCAGAGAGTCCCCAGCTGTCCAGGGCAGGGGATCCAGAGCAGAACAAGTGGACTGAGAGTTTGAGGTCAGGCCTCAGGAAGACATGCATTGAAGGTAAGGGTATATGGCTGACAGGAAAAGCCTAAGGCCATGGATGACCCCCAACTTGGAGATTTTCCATTTCCTATCCCCTTCCATGCACACAAACACACATACACACACAACACACAACACACATACACAGAGCCACTCCCCACAGAAGCCACCAGACCTGTGGGGGCAGGAGGTGGGGATGTTGTTCTGTGGTAGGTGGAGCCCTCATGTGCCTACACAGTTCCAGGGGACCCATGTCACCACGAAGGCTCCAGGTGGGGCAGGATGGAAGGTGGTTTACTTGGTATGGGACTAGGAAGGGGTGTGAGCTTTTAGGGGAGAGCTACAAAGGTAGAGGCAGACAAAGAGATGGAGTGAGAAGCTGGGGCCCAGAGAGGGCGTGGGCCTTGCTTAAAATCACACAGCACACTGGGTCATACAGAAATGATGGGGGCCGAGAGAGTGTGTGGCTTATGGAACACATATCACCCTGGTGGACACCCAGCTTGACCTCTGAGGCCTGTCTCAACAGGTATCTGTGGGTCCGCCTTGGGGAGCACCACCTCTGGCAATGGGAGGGCCCAGAGCAACTGTTCCGGGCCACGAACTTCTTCCCCCACCCTGGGTTCAATAAGGATCTCAGGGCTCATGACCACAATGATGACATCATGCTGATCCGTCTGCCCAGGAAGGCACACCTGGGACCTGCTGTGCAGCCCCTCAACCTCAGCCAGACCTGCGTCTCCCCAGGCACCCTGTGCCTCATCTCAGGCTGGGGGGCCGTGTCCAGTCCTAAGGGTATAGCCTTGCCTACAACTCAACCCCTTGTGTCTCATGCCGAGGGTCTGAATTCCCCCTATTTCTCTGTCTCTGCCTTTTCATCTCTTAGATAGAAAGATGATGATAGATAGATAGATGATAGATGATAGATAGATAGATAGATAGATAGATAGATAGATAGATAGATAAGGAAAAAATCTAAGATGCTATAAATTACAAGATGTATCATTATTTACAACCACTAAGAACAGGGGAAAAAAAATCCCCGTGAATACTTGCATGACACCATTTGCTGGAAGACATGCCCTGATTTCAGAGATGTTTAAATATGAAAATATACACTTCATGGAATTGAGATGAGGCCTAGATCTCTCAGAGTCACAAATCAGCAACCCATTAGCCACATTTAGACTCCTACATCAGTCTTGGTTTTCAAAATGCCTTGAAAAAATAGTCTGAGCTTGAGAGATTTTTACATAAAAGCCAAATTTCTGCATTTGCTGGGAAAATCCAAAGAGCTGACAACGCGGGACCCACATTCCCTAAATAGTGACCATTGGGCAGAATCAGTGGAGGTTACGGCCTTCAGACCAGATGCAGGTTTTCTGGGCCTCTACAGTGCCTCCAACTGGTTGCTGTTTCTGCATAGTCCCCTCCTCCCACTTCTAATTTACCTGTCAAGCCCATTTGAATCTGTGCCCCTAGATTATATACGTGGATATATGCATATCTATATCCATATCTATATTCTACATGCTGTGTCTCCCTGTCTGTGTTTAGTATCTCTTATGTTTTTGTCTCTGTCAATGACCATAAATATTTCCTCCCTTTCTCACTGCCTTCTCCCTTGGCATCTCTGGGCCTGTTTCTTTTTCTTTTCTTTTACTTCATTGCTTCCTCTGAGAGGAAGGTCTTAAGAGGTCTATCTCCTTTCCCTTTAAGAAGTCTATCTCCTGCCATGGTCTCTATTTTTCTCTGGGTGTCATGTATGTATCTCTTCTTGGCTCTTGGCTCCCTGCATCTTTCTGTTTCTCTGTCTCTCTCTCTTTGGCCCTCTCCCTCTCCTCAAACATCTGTTTCTCTTTCACATTATGATTCTGTCACTGTCTCTTGTTTCTGTCCTTGAGAGTCTTCTGCTGTGGTTCTGTGGGTCCTCCTTAGGGAAGGGTCTGGGTGGAGGGGCTGCTGAATGTGATAGGCCCAGCTGCTGATCCTCTATGGGGGCATCTCTTTTGCCAACAGTGCAGTACCCACTCACGCTACAGTGTGCCAACATCAGCATCCTGGATCACAAACTGTGCCATCAGGCATATCCAGGCCACATCTCAGACAGTATGCTCTGTGCCGGCCTCTGGGAGGGGGGCCGGGGCTCCTGCCAGGTGAGACCTACTCTGGGGAGGAGGGGAATGGCTATCTTGCCAGATTCCTGGGTCCTAGGGAATTAGGGAGTTGGGGGCCCCAGAATTCCTGGGGATCCGGGACACTTGCGTCCTGGGAGAGGATGGGACCAAGGCCAGGATTCCTGGATTTAAAGGGGACTGGAGGGCGCCTGGGTGGCTCAGTTGGTTAAGCGACTGCCTTCAGCTCAGGTCATGATCCTGGAGTCCTGGGATCGAGTCCCACATCAGGCTCCCTGCTCAGCGGGGAGTCTGCTTCTCCCTCCGACCCTCCCCCTCTCATGCTCTCTCTATCTCATTCTCTCTCCCAAATAAATAAATAAAATTTAAAAATAAAAAATAAAAAATAAATAAAGGGGACTGGAAGCCCCGACTCTAGAACCTAAAGGAGGAGAGGACTGGGAGTACAGACTTTAAGTCCTGGGGGAAGAGGGGACTAGGATCCCAGAGTGCTAAGTGCAGGGGTGAGGCGAGGGCTATGAGCGCTTATTCCTGGGTCTGAGGGAGGAGGGACTGGCTGCCTGGACGCCAAGGTGTCGGGAGAAGAGGAAACAGGGTGCTTCCTTAGAGGAAGTGGCCAGTGTAATATGAATACACCAGCTTAACAGTTTCTTTGCTCTTCTGCCGCGCACAGGGTGACTCTGGGGGCCCCCTAGTTTGCGACGGGACGCTGGCGGGTGTGGTGTCTGGGGGTGCCGAGCCCTGCTCCAGACCCCGGCGCCCTGCTGTGTACACCAGCGTGTGCCACTACGTGGACTGGATCCGAAAGACCATGGAGGACAACTGAGCCCTCATGCCTTGGGCGACCAAGAGCGGAGGGTGGGCGTAGGGCAGAGGGGAACTGAAGGGCTCCGGCCTCAGAGATCTCGGCGCGTGGCCCCAGCGACCCCGAGACACCTTCTGGATCTTCAGGCTCCGCGCCCTCAGGGCCCGCCCCGTCGGAGAGCAGGGGGGAGACGCCTCCGCCCCTGGAGCCCCGCCTCTGCGAAATCACCAGAGCGGGCATCACCGTGGAACAGCTTCACCCGGGGCTCGGCTCCAGCAGCACCTCCAGCAGACAGCGCCTGCCCTCGGAACTTTGCCCAATGAGAATTCCCCTCCGGGCCCCGCCCCCTGTAACCCCGCCCCCTCCGTGGGAGAGCCCGCCCCCGTGACGTCAGGTGCTCTGTGGCTTCCCCTGCCAGCGGGCGGTGCAGGGTCGGGCTCCTCCCCTCGTGCCCGCGCCCCTGGGCGTTTGGATCCTGGCGGGGGGACCCGACTGAGAGAAGTTGGGGGAGGGTCTCCATTCATTCAGATTCAATGGATGATTAGACAATAAACGCGCGGAGCCGCGCCGTCCGTCTGCCTGCGTTGTGGGATGAAGGAAGGGCAAAGCGTGGGCGGTGGTGGGCAGACAGGGAACGGCCACCGTACAGCAATTCCCCCTTAACCCCCCCGGTAGGTCCTACCTAAAGTCTGTCTCCATCAGCCCTATTGCAGCAAGGCCGCTGGGCTCTGCTTGGGCTGGTCCCGTCGCCCCCAGAGTCAGGGGAAACCAGGTCATGGTGCCTCCCAAACCTGCCTTCCCAGATCCGGACCTCTCAGGGGCAGCGGGCGGAGCCCGATCCGCCCTCAGAAGACTCATCTTTCGTCCATTTCCAGTTAGTGGCAGCTGCCCCCTTCTCCCACAAGAACCCAGGCTCCAAGTCACTCCTAAAAAGACTTAAGAATTCAGCCCCTAACCCCCTTCTCCCTCAGACTAAAACTTCAGGCCAGTCCCCCCGCCCCCGACCCAAAAGTTCGGGTCCCCAGCGCCCTCCACCGTCAGACTCAGAGGAGTCCAGAACCCCATTCCTTCCCCTCCCAGGTCCAGGAGTCCAGACACAATCTCCCTTCCCTCAATTCAGGGGTGTGGGCCCCCAGTTCCTATTCCCTCAGACCTACAGTCTGGAATCCCAGCCCTCTCCTCCAGACCCAGAGTTCAGGCCCCCAGCCCCCTCCTCTCTCAGACCCAGGATTCCGGGCTCCAGCTCCCTCCTTCCTCAGACTCAGGAGTTCAGACCCCCAATCCCTATCTTCCCTGGACCCTGAGTCCAGGTCCCCAGCCCCTCCTCCCTCGGAGCCAGTTGTCCAGGTGTCTGGCCCCAGAAGTCACAGCACTGACGTCCTTCTCTTGGAAGAGGAGTTCCAGATCCTAGCGCCCCCCACACCCGCCCCCAGGTTTCCCTTTCAGGCCCTCAGCCCCTCCTCACTCATACACAGGGTTCCAGTTCCCTGATGCTCCGTAGGGCTCCAGAGCGGGAGGAGGCGGAGCGGGAGGCGGGAATTCCCAGTTAAAAGCCTCCAGAACCTAGTACCAGGCAGACAGAGCTGAAGTATTGGGGCCTCTTCCTCGGGGTCTGAATCAGTCGGTGACCCCGCCCCCTGGATTCTGCAACGTGAGATGCCAAAGTTCTCAGACACAGGCATCAGGCCCCGGGGCCCCTGCTCTCCCAGGGCCCAGGACCCCAATCTCAGACCCCTTCCTCCTTCAAAATTTAGGAATCTGGACCCTGGCCCCCTCCTCCCCAAGACTTAGGAATCTTAACTCCAAGTTCCCTCTTCCTTCAGATCCAGGAGTCCGGGACTCTAACACTCCCATTCCTGGGAATGTAGGAATCCAGCCTCCACCTCCTCTCCTCAGATTCAGAAATCTGGGGTCTGCCCCCTTCTTCCTCAGACCTAAGAAGATGGGTCCCCAGGCCCACCCCACCCCCCAGCAGGACCCAGAAGAATGGCTCTGGATGCTCTGCCTCCTTATTTCAAGTTTCTCCTAGGATTCAGGGCTCCTCCCTCTTCATTTCTCAGCCCTGCCTTCTCTGTCTCCCAGACCCCGCCACGGGACATCTCTCACCTGCTGCAGTCTGGACCTGGATGTTCCTGTTCTTGCTGTTGGAAGCCTGGGCAGGTGAGGGGGGCCTGGTGGGAGCCTGTGGGAATGCCGTGGGTGGGAATGCCGTGGTAGGTGCTTGTGATAGCATGCGGGGGGGATGTGAAACATGCGATCACATGTGGGAACTTCTTTGGGCTTTCCTGAGGGTGGATGGAGGCATGCACACATAGCAGAGGGTAGGAGTGTGTCAGCTTATGCTGCATGTTGCATGAGTACACCAAGCCGGCAGGGCTGCTTGCTGAGGGGTGCAGATACACACAGTATATAGGGCATGTGGACGCATGTGGGAGCATGTGGAAGCATGCTCGGGTGTGTGACTCGGTGAGACTCATGGGCTTTAATGAGTGGACGTGGGCATCTGTGTGGCAGCCTGTGCAAGCTGGGGGCCTCACATTCTCAGTGTGGACATGTGAGGAGGCAGGCAGAGAATGTGCCATATGTCATTTTGAACCCACAATGGGTTTTCCTGGCCTCTGCACTGCCCCAGGGGGTGACGATCCAAACTCTCTCCCTCCTGCTGCAGGACACGTGAGGGCACAGGAGTCCAAGGTGCTGGGCGGCCAGGAATGTGAGGCCCATTCTCAGCCTTGGCAGACAGCCTTGTTCCAGGGCATCCAGCTGCTATGCGGGGGTGTCCTCATCGATGACAACGGGGTCCTTACAGCAGCCCACTGTAAAAAAACAGTGAGTGGATGCCTGGGGCAGAGGTGGGCTGGGGCCTGGGGGAAGGGGGAAAGAAGAGAGCTGGAGACTGAGCCTCTGAAAGAGGAGGGCTGAGGGAGGAGGGGACTGGCTTCCCAGACTCCTGCCTGGGTCCCAAATTACTCTCCACCATTACAGGAAATACACAGTACGCCTGGGGGATCACAGCCTGAAGAATAAGGACCGTTCAGAGCAAGAAATGGCTGTGGCTCAGTCCATCCCACACCCCTGCTACAACAGCAGCAATGAGGACCACAGCCATGATCTCATGCTCATCCGACTACGTGGTCGGGCATCCCTGGGGCCCAAAGTGAAGCCCATCAACCTGGCGGATCGCTGTCCTGAAGTTGGCCAGAAGTGCACCATCTCGGGCTGGGGCACCGTCACCAGCCCCCGAGGTAGTAGGAGGGAGAGGAGGAGCTGGCTGGCCCAGTGGACCTCAAGCCATTGGCAAAGCTTTGCCTCCAGAAGGAGATAGAGAAGGGACAGTGATTGTGAGGTTGAGATTCACAGGTGGCCCATGTTGGAAACCTGGAAGGCCATAATATTAACAGGACTGGTGGGAGAAAGAAAGCAAAATAGCAGATTGTTAAACCAGGTCTCCAAAAAATGGATGGGTGAATGAGTGGATAAAGAATGCATGCCTCCTTGGGGCCCCTGGGTGGCTCCATTGGTTGAGTTCAGGTCTTGATCTTGGTTCAGGTCTTGATCTCAAGGTCCTGAGTTCAGGCCCCGACTTGGGCTTCACACCCAGCTTAAAAAAAAAAAAAAAAAAAAAAAAGAATGCATGCCTCCTTCACGGTGGAGAGTACCATGTTTTGTTTTCTTTTTTTTTTTTTTTAAGATTTTATTTATTTGAGAGAGATTGAGAGAGAGAGCATAGGGGGGAGAAGCAGAGGGAGAGAGGGAAGGAGACCCCTCACTGAGCAGGGATCCCAACTCGGGACTCAATCTCAGGACCCTGGGATCATGACCTGAGCCGAAGGCAGACCCTTAACTGACTGAGCCACCCAGGCGTCCCATGCAGAGCACCACGTTATGAAATCTTTCATTGCCCAGGGTTTTCTATAATTTTCTTAACAGACTTGGGATATATGGGCTCCTCAGTGGCCCAAGAGAACACGCTCCTAAGCATCTTCTCCCTTTTGAGTCCATGATTCCTGGCACCAGAGACTCTCTTCCTTCACACCCAGGAATCCAGTCCCTTCCTCTCCCAAGACTCACTGTCTAGGTCTCCAGCTCCCTCCTCACTCTGGACCCAAAGTCTGGACCTCCGTTGAAGTCCTCCTTTTGGGACTTCAGAGTCCAGGCAACCCTTACCCTACTTCACAGTGAGAGAATTGAGACTCAGCTCAGAGAGGCATGCGATTCACCAGAAAATCCAGGATTTTCCAAGCAAAGACAGGATTCAGATCCCTGCCTGTCTGACTCCTTCTAAGGGGACAATGGGATGCTGTGGAAACCCACCTGCTCATGAATCAGTCAGGTCAGTTCAAACCATGGCTCTGTTCTTTCCTCTGGGCAAGCCCCTTCCCATCTCTTGCCTCATTTTTCTCATCTGCAAAATGATGGATTTTTAAGATTAGATAATAGATTTTAGGTAATAGATAATAGATTTTTAAGCTCCATAAGGGCTCAGGTTAAATCTTTTTTCTTCATTGTATGTTCCCAGTGCTCAGGATGGTACCTGGTACACAGTAGGTGCTTGATAAATATTTGTTGAATGAATGCATGGAACAAATGAACATATCCCTTTTTTTTTTTAAGATTTATCTATTTATTTGGGGGGAGAGGCAGAGGGAGAGGGAGAGAGAGAATCTCAAGCAGGCTCCACACTCAGCTCAGAGCCCAATGTGGGGCTCTATTCCATGCCCTGTGACCATGACCTGAGCCAAAACCAGAAAGTCAGATGCTTAAGTGACTGAGCCACCCAGGTGTCCCCATAAACCTCTTTCAAAAAGCTATTGTGAATTCAGACTTTTCACAATCAATGAGATTGTGAAGTATACAGCTTCTGGAACATAGAGGTCCCAGATAGAAGTTTTTCCCCCTCAAGTCAATTGCTCAAAGTTTAATAAGAAAGATTAATTCCATTTTCTTTCTTTTTTTATTGAAGTATAGTTGGCCACAACATTCTATTAGTTTTGTGTGTAAATACAATGACTGGACATTTGTATACACTGCAAACTGATCACCACAATAAGTCTAATTACCATCTGTCACCATACAAAGTTGTAACAATATTATTGACTATATTCCCTGTGGTGTACATTACATGATTAATTCCACTTTTACTCATTAATTCAACATTTATTTGTGAGCATCTGGTATGCCCCAACTGCTTTACTGTGTGAAGTTTCTATCCTATGGAGTTGCATGCTAGGTGGGGAAAATAGATGATAAACAAATACATATAAAATGAATTATTAGGCAGGGTTAAGTGCTATAATAAAATATGGAGAGTAAGAGGATACAGAGTGATGGAGGGGTGATGTCTCTAGGTCAGGGAAGGCTTCTAGGATGAGATGACTTTTGGAAAAAGTAGCATTTAGCTGAAATTGGGGACCTGATGGTCTGGGGTTGGGAAAATTGGAGAGACAAGGTCAGAGGTGTCATAAGGGGGCACCTCCATGTCTTCCAGTCACCTGATCCTTAATTTGAAAATTAGTGGACAAGAAACAGAAGGTAGACCCAACATCCCTTCTCTAGATGTTGGAAAGGAAACAGCAGGGACCATGGCTTTGTTTAATGTGGTGAGAAGTGATGTGCCCTGTGAAATGTGTCAGAAAACTCTCCTGAGCAGCCATGGATGTACAGAAGGGAGATTAGATCCAGACAGGGATTGAGGGTGAAAATGGTTGCTCTCTCTGGGAACTTACCACCTCTGCCCCCTCAGAGAATTTTCCTGACACCCTCAACTGTGCAGAAGTAGAAATCTTCCCCCAGAAGAAATGTAAGGATGTCTACAGCGGGCAAATCACAGACGCTATGATTTGTGCAGGTGACAGCAATGGGGCCGATTCATGCCAGGTGAATTACTTCTGAAACTCCCTTCTTCCCTTGTCCCTCACCCCCCATAGAGGCTCGAGGCTTGGCAGTAGAGTGACCTCAAAGAGTTAGTACCCAGAGAGGTTACCCCTATCTCTAGAGTGGGAAACAGGCTCAGAGAAGACCACACTCTATTTGCAGATCACACTGCACAGCGTTCAGGAACATTGAATTGTTGCTATCATTTTCCTGGGAACCCTTGTCTTCAGGATGGAGTGCAGAGAGGGGAGGGGATAAGGGGGTAAGAGGAGATGTCCATGAGGAAAAGACTCTGAGGCTAGAGGGTATGCAAGCTCCCTGCTCCCTTCCTCACCAATAGTTTTGGGATTTTGTGCTGACTCTACCACTGACTAGGTAGTCAGCCACTTTTCTTTGGGACCTGACTGGGTTCCTTAGCACGGCTGCCTTCTCCTATGATTGGTCCCTCGGGGAGCAATGCTCTCTTGCCAACTGGGTAGGGAATGGTGCCACTGACTTTAATGGTCCCTTGACAAACTCCCCATACCCAAGATAACAAATCTTGGGATTTGCCATAGGTATAACACTCTCATTCTTATTGGCTGCATTTGGGGCCTCAGGGCTCCCCCAGGTTTGCCCCCCTCATGGAAGCTTCACCCCCTTTACTAATGATTGGTCCTTGAAGACAATGCTTCAATGCTTTCTTCCCCATTGGCCAGGAATGAAGTCATTTCCATCAGTGTCGTCCCTTGAAATCTAATCTCTCGGAATGGTTTTGGTTCCATAGAGACATGATCTCTTCCCAAAAGACTTTGTCCCTTGCGTGCGCGCGCGCGCGTGTGTGTGTGTGTGTGTGTGTGTGTGTGTGTGTCCACAAGAACTCTGCTCCTTCCTCCTATGTTTGGTAACTGGAATCAAAGATCTTTTCACCATTGATCGGGAATGGAGACATCAGCTCAGTTCCCTCCATGGAATCCTCACTGTCTTCTTCCTGGATTAGACCTTTGAGACACCATTCTCTTCCCTCCTTGGTCAGGATTTCCCCCATTGCCCTAGGACATCCGGTCTGTGTCCTTATACACGTAGCCCCACCCTTCTTTCTTACCACTGGCCCCAGGGTACAATGCTCTTATCCCTATTGGCTAGAGGGAACCAATCATGCTACAGGACTAGTACCAACTTCTGGGTACAGCAGGGCATCTTAGGTGAAAGTATTCTACTCTCCCCATCCAGGAAGATTCCGGGGGTCCACTGGTGTGTGGTGGTGTTCTCCAGGGCATCACATCCTGGGGATCGGACCCCTGTGGGCGGCCCGAGAGACCTGGTGTCTACACCAACATTTGCCGCTACTTGGACTGGATCAAGAAGACCATAGGCAGCAGGGTTTGATGCTAGGACAAGCTTTGGACGCTCTTCAATAAAACTCACAACTCATCCTGGCTCCTTGCCTGTCTGTGCTTTGGCCCTGTGGGGAGGGATGGAAGGATGGGGGTCTGCGCCTTGCTGAGAGGCTTGATGGGAGGTCTATAGAGACCAGGATCCCCATGGCCACTCTTGGCTATCACCACTGCCTGGAGTGATCCCCTTTTTCTAGAAGGGCTTGGAGGAATGGGAGGTTAATTTCAGGGGAGAAGCCACACAAGGATTTCCAAATATCCAATGGGCTGGCCTGAAAAAGAGATTTGAAAGAACTTCTGTTTCGTTTTTCTGAGCAGGTAAAGTGTTTCTAAGCTTTGAGAGGAGAATTCCCCTCCCCCATTATAAAATATGTAGAGCAGGGTACAGGAAATACGTGAGCAGCTTAAATATGCATCTATGGAACCAACACCCAGATGAAGAAATAGAACATTGACAGCCTGCAAAACTCTTAGCGACAGATTCTTTTTCCTGAGGAGAAACAGAAATCTTTCTCACAGCTTAGAGCTTTTCTGCTGTGGTAGAAGGGAATAAGTCACTTCATTGCATGTGTCCAAATTGAAGTGTGGAGAAAAAGAGATTTGGGGGAGTTTTCATTAGAACAGAGGCTTAATGTAAGTTGTCTTGGGAAAGATGTGTGTGGAGGGGGTACTTACTGTAAGGATATAAATACATTGCAACAGGATGGGCACTGGCTCCCCTCTATCTCATCTCTCTTCACCTGTTTCAATCCTTTCTTGCTACCAACCTTCTAACTCATTTATTTGACTCTCTGACGCCTTTCTTTCCTTCATGCCTCTGCATTTTCATAGTGTTGGCTCGCTCATGCGCTATTCCAATCTCTCTCCTTACTTCACAACCTCTGAACTTCACTTTCACCTACCACCAACAGCTTCACTGTCCCAGGATTTCCCAGATTATATTCTCATGCAAGAGAATCCAATTGGTCCAGGTCAACTTTCCTCCTTCAGCCGGCCACATGATAGGTTACTGAATGGCCAATGGTTTGACTGCATTCTGTTCAGGTAACCAGTCCCAGCCAATCAGTGGCTATTTAGAGTCACGTGACAGGAGGTGTCTCTCCATCCTGGGCTGTGGGGGGGACAGTTCTCCACAAGTGGTGTGGGTGTCCAAGAGGCCTCTCATGCATCAACCTCTGTCCTCCGTGAAAGTCTCCAGAATACCAGACATCTTGATGAAGACTTTCATGCTTGATAGTAAACTCCTGGAACTGGGGATGCATTTTTGGAGGTGATACTCAAGGGTCATCTTGGTCTAAAGAATTGTTTTAGAATTTTTATTATGAACAATTTCAAACATACATAAAATAGTATGGGAACCCGCGTATACCACCATCCAACTCAATCAAAACCAATCCTTTTACCTATACTACACACTTCCCTAATGCTGGAGTATTTTGAAACTAATGGTGACCATCCTATTGTTCTTAAATATTTTGTCATATGTTTCTAAAAAAGGGTATGGCAAACTAAAGCCAATGGGCCAAATCCCAAGAGCTAAAAATAGCTTTTACTATTCGATTTGATGACAGGGAGCGTTAATTTTGAACTCTAATTAAGCAAGATGTTATCCCCCCAAAATAGTTCCATTCTGCTCATTAATAGACCTGTATGACAAAAATTGGTAACAAATGATTATTACTGTATTTTGGATTTCATCAATTAAAATTGGAAATTTATTTTCCAGTTTTCTCTCGTTGTAAGTACTTATATAATATCCTCAATTTTTTTAAAAGATTTTATTTATTTATTTGACAGAGAAAGACACAGCGAGAGAGGGAACACAAGCAGGGGGAGTGACAGAGGGAGAAGCAGGCCTCCCGCCAAGCAGGGAGCCTGATGCGGGGCTCGATCCCAGGACCCTGGGATCATGACCTGAGCCGAAGGCAGACGCTTAACGACTGAACCACCCAGGTGCCCCTAATATCCTCAATTTTATCTCATGGTCTGCAAAGCCTAAAATATACACTCTTTGGCTCTTTTTTGAGAAAAGTTTGCCAACTCCAGCTCTAAAATATAGATTATTTTAAAACATAAACACCTTACATTATCAAGGCTTTACAGAGTTAGTAATAATTCCTTAATATCACCCAGTATCCAGGTGGTATTTAAATGTCCCCAATGGGGGAAAAAAAAAACAACACTTGAAAATTGATTTATAGTATTAAGGAGGGGCATGGCTGAGGTCAAGGGGGGAAGAGACTGGTCCAAGGTCAACCAGAAATTCAGGAATAGGATCGTGGACTGTGGAATCTGGGAGGAAATCAAAACACCAGGCATGGACAAAAGCTGGAAGGATCTACTTAGTCAGGGAGCTTTTGGATAGCAATGTCAGAGCCCCAGTTAGAACTGGCTTATATGCAAGAGGGGATGGTTGGCTTAGGTGCTTAGGAAGGTTATGGGGATGGTTCATGATGTCAGGATGTGACATGGGTACCAGAGTCTCAAGTACTTGAAATGGTGACTTAAGCCAATCAGCTCTCTCACACGTGCTCTTGCTCTCTCTCTCTCTCTGTGACACTTTCTGTCACTCTGCCTACTTCTCTCTGCCTTTAATTTTCTTTTTGGTGTGTGTGAGTTGTTTCTCATTCTGCTTGTCTCTTTCCTTCTTCTGTGGATCTCATTCTAGCCTCTGTAGACAGGCTTTATCAGATGGAGGGAACATAGCAGCTACTGACCTATCCAATTAAGCAAACAAAGCAGAAACAAAGATCTCCATTCTCCTGGCATCTTGATATTACTCCCAGGGAAGAACTCTGATTGGTTCAGTTTGAACTGACCCACCCCTTGGATCAATCTTTGTTGTCAGGGAGGAGGCAATGCTCTTGTTGGCTTGGCCTGGGTCATGCATCAATCCCAGTGGTTGGGTGGGCAGATGGGAGGGATTGGAGTACTATGATCGACATTTTCACCAGAACTATGCGAAATGAAAGAGCAGCTTCCCAGAAGAAGTGGGAAGCTGTTCTTGAAAGAAGAGGGAAGGGAATCCAGGAAGTCAGAAACAATGGGCCTTCAGAACCCAAGGGGTTGAGTCAGGAGGTTCCAGGGTCACAGTGTCCAGGATCCCTCAGGGCAAGGCACAGCTGACAGGATAACCAGACGCCAGTTCTCAGGTGTGATCATGAGCTGAAGGTGGTTCAGGACACAAGTTTGAGGGTGAGGGAAGTATGAGGCTGGGTATCTGTGTGGGACTTCAGAACAAGTGCTGGTACTAAATACAAAGGGCACAGGAGGGCTGGGGTTTGAAGTCTCACCAATGTGAGGGTAGGCATCATTAATAGGCCCATAGGGTTCCAAGTCCATTCTGAGCCGTATGAGACTTCAAGGGGGTGTGACAGTGTCCCTGGAAAATTTTCTTCTCAGGGTGTGGGTCTGTACAGCTGTGATACCATGGGCAATCCTCAGCATTTGAATTCTGCCTCTTCTGACTCCTCAGCTATATGACTTTGATCAAGGGATCTCACCTCTCTTAAAACTCCATTTTCTCATCTATATAGTGGGGAAGACAGTCCTCACTTGGACCCATGTGAGGAATAGAGATGAGTTCTGAGAAATGTCTGACACATCACCAAGCAGGTGTACAAGAAATGGAAGCTGCTCCATTCTGGATGACGGGGTAAGGGAGCTAATACTAACTCAGTGTATGCTATGTGTACATCCACTTTCTTTTCATAATTTTATTTTATCCTCCCATTTACCTTGAGAAGTAAATTTTTCTCTCCCTCACTTTATTTTTTTTAAGATTTTATTTATTAGAGAGAGAGAGAGCATGAGTGGGGGGAGGAGTGTCAGAGGGAGAGGAAGAAGCAGACTCCCCACTGAGCAGGGAGCCTGACTCAGGGCTTGCCCCCAGGACCCCAAGATCATGACCTGAGCCAAAGGCAGACACCCAACCAACTGAGCCACCCAGGTGCCCCACTCCCCACTTAAAGAGGGGCAAAGTGAAGCTTAGAAAAATTAAGTCACTTACCTGAAATCAAGCAATTAGGATTCACACCTGGTTTGGTCTGACTTGTGAGGCCAAGTTCTTTTGCTCACACCCCATGGTTGACTGGCGCAGGGATCAAGGAAAGACTGAGTCTAGGGTTGGCAAATCCATGGATGACAGTGGTTTGCAAACTAGTATTTATTTAAGTACCTCCTATGTTCCCTGGTCTGGGCTGGGTGTTAAAGAAAACACCAATGAACACCGATTCGTTCCTTCTGCTCATGAAGACATGTTTAGCAACAAAATCAGATTAAATAATTAAGAACACAGAAAGACAGATATGCAGAGCACAGCAGAGGAGATGTTCTGGGTTTGTAAGAATGGACAACAGGGCTCCAGAGGAGTGTAGCTCCCTTCCTCTTTCTGACAGAATGCTGATGAGGCAGGGGGATGAAGAGAGAATCCAGGGATAAAGATTTGGGCAGTAGATAAATTGGAAGTCTTGCTAAAATTCCTCTCCTTAGGAAGCTGAGAGGGAAAGATACAGATTACTGACTCATGGGGATATGAAGTCAAGTGGACTGGGGTCTACCTCTACTTGACTGGGGAGCCCAAGTCAGGAAGGTTGATACCCCTCAAGGCCAGGGTCCTCCTGTGGAATTGGTGGGATCAGTAGTCTGAGTTTGGGGGTCTCATTTTGGATTTGATGGGAGTAAGCGTGTCTCAAAACGTTTGGGGACTTAGCTTGAATTTAGTCAGTATGGGGTCAATGTTAGTATGGTGTCTGTTGGTAGACTTTATTTCAGAGTTTGTGTGAAATAAAGGGTCAAGGTGGTGTGTGGAGTTAGGAAAATGAAGATGGGATGGGGAAAGAGTCGGACACGGAAGTGAATATGAAATTTCAGGTAGAAATTGGGTTGGAAAAGAGATAGAGCTGGAACTGGAGTCAGAGTGTTAGGATTGGGGTGAGTTGGGGATGAGTTAATAGGGATGTCAGTGTGGGCTTCCGGAATATTACTATAGTC